AGGAATGCCAGTTGTGATGCCAGAGCTACACGCCTGATAGGAAGAGTAGTGAGTAGAATAGCCAACTAGGTTTTTTGTTTCGGTTTGCATTCCTTGCTGAACTGTGTACATTCTTCCCCCTATCTATGTGTTTTTTGTCCTTTGTTTTTCTAAAGTTTTATGTGTTTTTATACACATTGGAGGGAGTTTACTGGCCAAACCCAGATAAGTGTTTCCAGTGCCACGCCTACCATCTAACAGAACATTTATTCCCCCCCCCCCTTTCTCAGCCTGCTATTGTCACGCTCTGGGGCTGAGATTTGCAGAAGCCCCTATGTTTTGATTGTAAACGGCTTGAATCCACAGTAGTCGAGTCATCCTCCTCAGAATTCTGGCTTCTCTTTCTGCACTGAGAACTTCAGCCTCACCAGAAAAATATTTGCCTCACAAGCCACAACATCCTCGCCACAGGCCTACAAGTGGGGATTCGAACGCGGGCCTCCCAGATCCTAGCCTGTGGACTGTGTTCTCCTTTGTCAAAGAAAGAGGAGCCAGGGACCAAGTGGGTGTGCCCTGGTTTCTCTGCCCTCCCATCCACTTGTGAAATGCTGGACTGCATGCTGGGGAGGGCAGAGACTCTTCATCTGGCTCCCTCCGGAAGCCGCCTCTTCCAGGGCCAAGAGCCTCCCAGCGCCCCCCCCCCTGTGGTTCCCCCTATTGGACACACTGGGCATCACGCAGGAGAGCGCCCCTGTGGCTCCAGGGCAGTTCTACCCTCTGGGGAGGGAGGCTGAGCTGGGCTCTTGCCAGTTTGGTAACTGACCTGGAAAGCCAGTGCTGGGCGTTGCAGGGAAAAGGTCCCTGCCAACTTAACAGAGGGGGGAGGAAGCAAAGAGGCACCCCTCCCAAGGTCGCTGCGGGGGCGGGGGGGAGATGAAGACTGATCTTGTAATCATCCCCTTCTGCAAAGTTTTTCTCCCCACCCCCCAAACACTTTCATTTTCATTAGGAGGTGATACGTTGCCCCTCTCACGAATCTTGCTCTGGAAACTTCGGTCTCCCTTGCTTGCCTGGAAGATCGTTAAACTTTATGAATGATAACATCTATGCAGATCATGCTTATTTGCCCAGGACTCAACCCCCTCCCACCAACGTTGCCCACACAGGTCTTTGGAGAGCCCCCTGGCCTGCCATGGCCTATGCAAACCTCTCCCCATGGTGCCTGCCAGGTGCTGGACAGCTTGCCTTCAAGACGCTGGTCAAGGGGAAAGCGTTTAGCATCCTGTCTGAAACACGTAACTGGGAATCAGTCTCTTGGCTGTGGGGACGCAGCACACGCTAACTTGGGTTATGGGGCACTCTATCTCCTAACATTCAGCTGTCTCTGGAGCGGATGCAGCGGGGCTTGTAGCTGCCAGCCATGTATCATTAACTGCATATGACTTCGTAATTCCTTGCCTGTGAGTTTTAACATAACATGCCAATAAAGGTCTGCTTGATTGAACTTTCCTAATCCTCCTGGGATCTGCAACCCATGAAGAAGCGGGTTCAAATTTCAAGCATGCAACAAAAAACCTCCCTTTTCAAGGCCCCTCCCTCCTTTCTGTCTTCCCATCTTCAATATGGGAATGAGCACCACTTTCATGGGGCAAAAACACTCATATGAAGTCTGCTCTGCACAGGGCAATAGTTAAATTTTTTTAAGGGAATGATCATAGAGTTGGACAGGACCTCCAGGGTCATCTAGTCCAACTCCCTGCACAATGCAGGGAATTCACAAATACCTCTCCCTCCACACCTGCAGTGACCGCTATTCCACGCCCAGAAGAAAAACCTCCAGGACCTCCAGCCACACTGGCCTGGAGAAAAATTGCTTCCTGACCCCAAAGTGGCAATCTGCAACTCCCTGGGCGTGTAAGGAAGGGCCACAAGAACTCAGCACTGAGGCAACCCTTCCTGCCCTCCCTCTCACGGTCTAACTAAGTTCACGGAATCCACATTGCTGTCAGATGGCCATCTAAGCCTCTGTTTGAAAACCTCCAAAGGAGAGCCCACCACCTCCCAAGGAAGCCCGCTCTAATTTCAACCCACTGGTTCTGGTCCGACCTTCTGGGGCAACAGAAAACAACTCTGCACCATCCTCTGTATAATGACAGCCCTTCAAGTACTTGAAGATTGTTATCATATCACTCAGTCGTCTCTCCTCCAGGCTAAACATACCCAGCTCCTTCAGCCTTTCCTCATAGGACTTGTTTTCCAGACCCCTCACCATCTTTGTTACCCTCCTCTGGACATGTTCCAGCTTGTCTATATCCTTCTTAAATCGTGTTGCCCAAAACTGAACACACTACTCTAGGTCAAGAGCAGAGCAAAGCAATACCATCACTTCGCATGAACTGGACACTATACTTCTGTTGATGCACCCCAAACTTGCATTTACCTTTTCAGCTACTGCATCACATCATAGAATGTTAAGAGTTGGAAGGGATCTTGCAGGTCATCTAGTCCAGTCCCCTGCACTTTGCTGGAGCATAGCTGAAAAATAGCCCTACATACCTACAACATACCCAAAAGATGGTCATCCAGCCTCCGCTTAAAAACGTCCAGTGGAGCACCCACCACCTCCCGAGGCAGACTGTTCCACTGCTCAACCACTCTTACAGTTAGGAAGTTTCTCCTGATATTTAGCTGGTAACGACTCCCTTGTAATTTCCACCCATTAGATCTAGTCTTGCAATCTGGAGCAAGAGAGAATAGATCTGCTCCATCTTCTGCATGACATCGCTGACTCATGTTCAGTGTATGGTCTACTAAGACCCCTAAATCCTTTCCACACATACCACTGCCAAGACAAGTCTCCCCCATCCTATACTTATGCATTCGTTTTTTCCTACCGAACTGCAGAATTTTACATTTATCCCCATTGAAATTCATTTTATTTCTTTTTGCCCAGTTTTTCTGCCTGTCCAGATCATCCTGTATCTTGACTCTTGTCTTCTACTGTATTTGCTACCCCTCCCAATTTAGTATCGTCTGCAAATTCAATAAGCATTCCCTCTATTCCTTCACCCAAATCAATGATAAAGATGTTGAACACAAGAGGTCCCAGATGAAGAACATGCAGCATCAACAAGTTCCTTCTATAATAAGCAAATGGGTTTATTTTGCCCCGGGGATCCTAAAGCTGACCCTGCTGCAGCTTTGGAAGAGGAGATTCTCACAAGTCCCTCTGGGAGCAAAGCTCTGGCTCTCGCGGCACCTCCATGGTGATGGCTGCTCCGTCATGTCCCTCCCCTCTCTCCTGGCTCTGCCAGAGTGAGACCCAAGTTGTTCCTGTCAGCTATGCTGCCATTGTAAGTGTGTGTGTGGGGGGGGGAGTCTGTAGTGTGAACATCTTTTTTTCCCTGGAATTTTGGTTTCATTTTTCTCGCTTGGCCTTATCTTGCTGCCTGACCTTGATGCTTCGCGCTCTCACCTCTCTGGGAACCTGTACTCGTTACTTTCAGCACACTGGGCTTGCACCTCTAATTGGGTTAACACCATTAGGGCCCCCAGCTTCAAACACAGTATCTCTTCCCCTCTCCCGCCTGTTGGGTTAGCTTTTACGCAGAATGTATTCACAGCTGACCTGCTTCCACTGAACTCAATAAACTTGATCCCGTGGAAGGAAGGTTGTTGAGTCTGAGTTTGTGGGACTCTGACAGTTCCTCTTGCTGCATCCACATGCTCTTGAATGCTCTCTGCCCAGCCAAGGCTCTGCTGCTGCACATGTTGTTGTTCGCCTGAAGACCCAGCAGAGGACGCACGGAGCTGCAGCTCTGAGCCTGTCGTTGGGGGTCCCACGGGGCTGTGCTTCCAGAACTGCAGTGGCAGAGCACACCCTATAAAGAACACACCGCTCCCACATGGTGACTATTCCCCATTCAGCTTTCATTGCTGTGGCAAAAGCATACTCACTTCAGCGGCAGCACGGCGTCCCCCAGCATTTCCTGGCCCCAGATCAAAATAGCTGCTATCCACCTAGCAGAGGTTTATTAAAAAATCCAGCCAGCATTATCACTACAGCAATTTCTCTGCTAGGTTCTCTGTATCCCCAACTTTTTTTTACAGTAAAGTCTCTGCTTTTTTTTTCATTGTTAAGAAAAGCCCTTTCTCTTATGCCTTTAATTAAAGAAGCTAAAGAATTATTTTTGAGAAATAAAATCCAGAGAATCTAGCAAATAAGGCTATTTTAGTATTATATTGGCAAGGGACATGGTGCCAGTCTGACAGGAAATGTGAAAACAAGGCACCCACATGACCCAGAAACATTGACCGTGACCCTTCACACAGCAGAGGAAAATAAAGAAAACGGCTGCTCAAGAGACAGCCTCCTTTGGACACCAAACTAGAGTTAAGCCATCTGCTTGGACATGGCCAGGGCTCCTTTCATTGAGGTCCACCGCACAGTGCAATGAATGCGCCACTGAAGCCACGCCAGAGTCTGTTGTGGAGTGCAACATGCAGGCTCGACACCTTAAAGGACAGAGAAACGCTTGTGGAATCTTGTGCCTCTCTTATGCGTTCACAGGGCACTGCAGCCGATGGAACAAGTTCAATAAACGCATGTTGCAAAGCAGTGGTGCAGAAAGACAAAGGCTCTGCCTGACGTCAACAGGAGCATCGCGTTGTGTGGTTCCGCAGCCCCGGGCAGGTGGGCGCATGAGGAGGGCAGCTCTGAGCAGCTGCGCGGAGGAGGGTGCTGGCCGCTAGGTGGAAGCTGCGCAGGGGAGGCTCCGGTGGTGGCGGGCCGCGGGGCTACTGCTGCTGCTCGGTCCCCTGATCGCAGGCGCGGCACAGCTCCCCCAGCTTGAGGCGGGCGTAGTCGATGCGGTTGAGGGCCATCTGGCAGTCCTTGCGGGCCGAGTAGCTGGAGCCCTCGTGGGGCTGGCCGGTGGCCACCTGCAAGGGGGGTGGGGAGAGCGGAGAGGGTGAATCTCAGTGCTTTGCTTGCGGCTCCAGTGAGCTTAGGGTGATTTTAGGCCGGGAGCCTGGAGACCAGTGTCCCCTCTAAGCCGAGTCAGCGTGAGCCAGCCCACAGTTTCTTAGCCTCCGGCTCAGACATTTCTGTCTTGGCTCAGGAAGGAGTGGAACTTTTGCTCGCAGGACTCCCGGGGGGCGAGGGGGGCCTTGCTTGCCCGGGAACCTGTTCCCCGCCTTGGGGGTGGGGGTGGGCGGGGCCATGCGTGGGGAAACCCCTCCCCCCTCCGCCCGGGCACCAGGAAGGGGAGGCCGGCGG